CAGGCTGTGAAACAGTGACAGGTATAGATGTGTGGCTAAGGCTGTGAAACAGTGACAGGTATAGATATGTGGTTCAGGCTGTGAAACAGTGACAGGTATAGATGTGTGGCTCAGGCTGTGAAACAGTGCCAGGCAGATGTGTGGCTCAGGCTGTAAAACAGTGACAGGTATAGATGTGTGGTTCAGGCTGTGAAACAGTGACAGGTATAGATGTGTGGCTCAGGCTGTGAAACAGTGCCAGGCAGATGTGTGGTTCAGGCTGTGAAACAGTGACAGGTATAGATGTGTGGCTCAGGCTGTGAAACAGTGACAGGTATAGATGTGTGGCTCAGGCTGTGAAACAGTGCCAGGCAGATGTGTGGCTCAGGCTGTAAAACAGTGACAGGTATAGATGTGTGGTTCAGGCTGTGAAACAGTGACAGGTATAGATATGTGGTTCAGGCTGTGAAACAGTGACAGGTATAGATGTGTGGCTCAGGCTGTGAAACAGTGACAGGTATAGATGTGTGGCTCAGGCTGTGAAACAGTGACAGGTATAGATGTGTGGCTCAGGCTGTGAAACAGTGACAGGTATAGATGTGTGGCTCAGGCTGTGAAACATGCTTTGAATACAAAATTTTATCATGAGCATAAAAACACATGGGATTAATCTTCGTTTCTATATTTTGCATTCCATGTATTTATCAATCCATCTACTTGATGGCTGGCTATGCATGAGTCAAGAAAAGACAGCTTGACAAATGAACTAATAATACAAACCTGATGTCTTTTCCATATTGTTGCAGCAGTGCCTATCTGTCCTTTACTCAACATATCAATACACTCAGTAAGCAGATCAGCATCCAGGAATTGACTCCACTTTGGTCCACTGAAAGTGAAGACAAAATAATAACAATACTTGTTGTATTCTCAATCATGGATGTACGTAACATGAGAATAACTGAACTCGCCTGAAGTTCTTGACACCATATGTCATATTATAAGTATCTAATCTATGTTGTACTTTCATGATCATTGCCATCAACTCAGTAGTTTTCGAATTATTACTGTTTTTACTTGATCCATTAACCTGAAATAATTATGAGATGTGCATTTAATAATATAAAATGTCCAATGATTGTCATTAAATTCAACAAAATTATGTGGAAGTGATTCATCAGGAGAACGGTGTGAGGATTCCTACCATTTTTATTTCAGAAAAAAATGCCATCAATATTGATGATTCAGTGGCTAAATTATTCACTCCAAAATACTTCTCGCAGTGTACTCCTTACACATTGAAGAACATAGGAGTGAAAAGATTATGTTATCCTAAAATACTGCTACTCAGGTGCTCAATATTAGTCTTTATATTGAGGTGGTCTAATTTATTCATTCATTCATAAATATTCATCAGAGGTGGAGATTTTAAGACATAAGCAAATATCCAAACTGTACAATAAACAATGATACCTGGTATTTTTTATTTAAATTATCACAAATTCATTTTACACAGGGCACCATAATATTTTGTAAATCTATATTGCAAAACAGTCAGCAAACCAACTATTTGGCTGTACTATTGAATTTTCAACTTTGGTGTCAGATTTTAATGCACCAGATCATAACATTATCAAAGGGAAGCAGATTGGAATACAAGCAGGAAAACATGAAAAGTCATTTCAATCATTTTAACAAAACCCCTTTTACTAATAATGAGTATTTTATTAGTACATGAATGTTTATAGAAAACTCTTTTAAAATGCATTGATGAATGGTTAACCGCTTCCCCTGCCATGTTACTTAAATCAGCAACGATTTATACAAGTAGCGATAGTCCATCGTGGTAAACAGTGATTGGATAATGTTATTGCATTCTGTATCGCTGTTCTTGGAATGGAATACAGGAGAACACAGATAAAGATATCGGAAGGTGACTCCCCTGCAAACTACAAAAAATTTAAATGTCTGAAGAAAGTTGGGCTGGCAAGCACAACATATCATTTTCACTAATGAATGTCTGCAGACACATTTATTTCATTGACTACATACTTCAGCATTATAATTGACAACACATTATAACAAAACAATATTTTTACAGTCCTTTGCTACTAGAAACATTTGTCTTTGAAAAACCCCTAGTGACTTTCTGATCGTCAAATCAATATATCTATATAATCAGTCAAAGCATGTCAAAGATATGGCACTAGAACCACATTCATTTAGGGGAGAGCAGAAAATAAAACGGGCGATGCACCGTGGTCATTGCCACTGTGGAGGTCGGCATTCACAGGTCGTTCGCGATTATGCAAATTAATGCTGTGGTCGTTTGTGGTAGGCTCCCACAGCAATTCACACTTATTGTTAAGAACATTTATTTAATGAACACAAAGAACTGGGAAATTAAAAGGATAACAAAGTTCCAATGAAAAACTAAATCAATTTGGCTGAGCCTAGTAAATCAAGTAAAATTGTTATTACATCAGGCGGTACTGTAATAATGCAATTTGTATTGGCTTTGAATATTTCAACATCATTTACTTAGTACGCTGTTTTTCTAATGACACAAATTTGTTTACAATATTGTACCAACTGTGATTATTTCAACATTGTAATGAATTGCTTTCATAATAATTAACTCAAGTTATTTTTACTATTGTTAGGGCACTGACCCTGGATATTACCTTACAATAAACTCTGGTCACCGCACTTCTTTCGCATTATTTACGTACATTTTGACTGAAGTCTCATAACCATGTGTTTGAATTACGTGTGGCAATGGGCAATGACCTCTAGAGTTCACGCACTGACATTTAAATTCGGGCAACTCAGCTTGACGCAAATGGATATAGTTACTTATTATTTGTTCAACAAATCTTTTTAACTTCCACAAATACCATGAACGTGAAGACTTAACTGAAAGGGAACATCTTTTTTTGACAAAAAAACACGTCAATACAAAATTATGTGTGGAAGGTTAGATTTATAGAACAGACATGACCGCTTAACTCTGTTTTTTCTAATAATCATGTTGCAAGTGAAACACAGGAGACATTTTAGTTTGTCCATTTCTTGTTTACCAATCTTGAACTTTTTGTCTGGAATGCGATACAGACAAAGAATAAACATTAATGATACCTATATATTGTTGTCAAATCAACCAAGAGGCTCGAATCTGGAAAGCTTAGCTATTTTAAACTTTGTAAATAGCATTCTTTTAGTGTAGACTTTATTCAAGTGTAATAAACGTAAGTGATATGTATGGACAAGTCATAATACTCGTACCTTCGAAAGTTACGACTCTTACTTTTGAAATTGGTGATAAATGCACCAATACCATTTTTATACCATTTTTTCACGCAACAATTCGTACGGTATACAGCATTGGATTTATGGATTTTTATTTTAATAAAAGTCATGAGCCGATAATATTACCATATATTTTCATGCCAGCAATGATCATAACCTACTCGATTTAAAAACAGCTATTTAAAACAAAGACTCGTGGAATCACAAAGAAACTTAAGCACCTATTTCACACCTTACCGCAACTGAGGTTGCAGGGGTCGAAATACTCTGGTGCACACTGCACTATGCACATAGATTATTAGCTAGTGCAAGTAAACTCAAAATATACACGCTGTGCATGTAGAAATTAACACAACATTTTCCCATTATATTCACCAAGCCTAAATTAAGACAACTCAAAAAAAGCTAATTCTTTCGTGATCGCATCGATCGAGAACCCGTAAATTTTATTTAAACTTTAAAAGTGGTGCATTTCACAACAAGTTAGTGCAGGTAAATTTCAAATTCAACATGCACACTATGCATGCAGGGAAAAAATTCTATTTCAATCCCTGGGTTGCAACAGGCACTTAGTGGCCACCGCGGTAGAGACCCCTAATTATAAGCAGTCTGCGACTTTCCCCAGCATTGGAATGCGAGCGAGGAAGTACATACACATGACCACATACACAGAAGTCAATCCATAAACCCCTGTTTTCGACTGCGAAACAACAGTTTGATGTTAAAAACCACTTTTATCTCGAAAGACTGTGTACTCAGTAGTCTGAACGTAACATGTGACTGCACAAAGACGATAGTTATGTACAGGTTTGAATGTAATAACTGAGTCGATAAACGATGCAATGCGCTAGTTTTTTATTAAAATAACTCATGAACACAATTACTTTCCGATTTGAATTTTGGCCAAGTTACTTAAAAGGAACAACATATAACATTAACACAAGCATGCTAGAAAAGACCAATCCAGGCTGTTCTTACCCTAAATCTTGCATAATTGAGCAGATCCACAATACAGCTGTAGTTGGGGAAATCAGTGTTTGTACAAGACTCAGTAACATATTCAATGTCCTGAATATGTTCCATGCAGTCTTTATAAGACACAAATAATTGTGCGATATCCACATCATCGGACTGATTAGACCATGGAGCAACTAGGTCATTTATATGACAGCTCTTCACTTTATACACCAGCTGAAATGCAGTAATACACAAGGTTTAAGAACTGTACATGTCAAGATTCAAACTGAGACAGCACTATTTGACGTATGTGATGGTACAAGTGTAAATTGAGAGAAATATATTAAACATTCAAATTTCATCTTATCAGAATGCTGGCTTCACATTTGATATGTTGTTATATTTAATTTGCTTCTACTGGCTAAGGTTGTATTGACTGTACACAACTTGTAAATCTAGAATAGTATAGCTATAGCCAGGTACATTTTTCTAGCAAACAAAGCTGAATGAAAACTTGAAGGCAAATTGATATAAACATTACCTGAACATCTTGACCAAACTGCTGAGCAAACTGAATAGCTTCTTCAAATCTCTTCTTATGTAAGAGTCTGTGGAATCTCGTATCAGGCAGGGCCTCTGTCAAACATCTGACACGCAGAGTTGCTACTAGTCCATTATCATTGTCAAAATCATCATCACTGCGTACTCCCTCTATCAAAAAAATTGTATCCTGCAAAACACATTATCTTATTGAGAGCGATTCAAATATTAATGCTAATAATAATTTTTGGAAATTTCCCAATGTCAGTGGAAGATTACTGAATTATTGTTGAGCTTTGATAATATTTCATAACACTCATTATTGTTATTCCTTGGTATTGAACTGATAGCACATACTGTGGTAGTATGAACTTTATCATGCGTGCACGTAATGATATGGTCTGTAAGGGCTTTGTCTAAGATTTTACCAAAATAATGCCAGGATAAGGAAATGCATAAATTTAGTTTTAAGGATAGTTTACAGTTCTTTTGATCTATTTTTTTTTCAAAAGTATTACAAAGTTGTTTAACCAAGACAAAACTGACTGAAAACTTGCAAAATTTGTTTTAAAACTATTTTGTCAGAATTTCACAACAATACAAGACAACTATCCATCTTATAACATCCTACATACATCCTACATACAATTTCTTTCACCATAATTTCTTTCACAAAATTCCAAGATATGAAATAACATTTTCACCATACAAAATTGCCTTAAAAATTGCATTTTTCGTATTTTGTGCAAAAACGTATCTTCGCCAGCCAAGGTAAAACTTCTTCAACTGTTGCCTCACCAGTATGCAATAGCAGAATTCCTACTACACTGTCAACAAAATCAAATACGACAACATGCTCTGATGCGTTTCCATGGTAAATGACATTTCTATGGGAGATGAATGCGAGGTCCTGTGCTTTTGTCAGTTAAGCTACAACATGATATAAGATGGCAAAATCTATCGCTTCAAAGTTGAAAATGATACGAGTTGTTGTTACAGTAACGCTGAATGATGGATTCACCTCCTTGGTGCACCCAATCAATCCATTCAATTTAACTGAGGTCAAATACAGCTTTTCCTAACATGATCACACACATTAGCGAAACCATGCGAATTGATAGTAGTTCAGTGACCATACTTTTTTTATCATGAATTTGTGAGCATAAAATAAAACAGTAAAAGAAAATCTGGAGATAAGTTTCAATGGTAGCCAACTACCTTCATTAATAGAAGTACTAAGTCATGTTTTACTGACCTGACTTAAAGGAGCATCAACAAGAGCAGAATGACAACCAACTTCTAATGAGTATGTGAGTTTCATACCAGGTAAAGAATATACCTGTAAATAACACTCTGGGTTTGGTACTGTTAAAACTATTACTCGGAAGCCATAACCAAGATCACTGAAAATTAGAAGAGGAAATTTATCACAGGGGTTAGAATACGACTGCAAACTTTGACATGTGAAACACCAGACATTTTCCTTGCATATTCCTTTCCCTTTCATCTATGATTGCAAGGTAAAATTACCTACCAATGGTTTATCATAGAGTTAGCTATTCACTGCAAAAATGAACAGTAACACACCTCTAAAAAAGCACTTCTGTAATTGGAGCAAGTAATATCATTCAAAAAAGGCAACCATTTGAATGTGTATTTAGAATATAGCAGTATGCTTTATTGACAGGAAAAAACAGATTGAACAAAACAAAAGTTGTGAATTGCACCCCTACACCCATTTAAGTTGCAGAGAACTGGACGGCATAATGTATTGAAATGGCCATTTTACTGGTCTCTGACGGCTTAGATCAGACAAGACCTCTTTCTTGTATGACAGATAGACATACAGACAGAGAAGGTCGATAACTAAGATTTCAGAAAACAAAACAACCATACTCACCCATCTTTGTCCATTGTTTGAACAGATCCTACTGTCATCAAAATAAAATCCTGTACTTTGATAGTAGACCAGTATGCACAAGTGACCAATGACTTAAAATCCAACATGCTTAAATTATTCTATAAAACAAAATATAGCCATTTAGACAGACAATTCAAAATGGAAATCAATTTCATTACCTTTTGACCAACTGTCAGCTATTTTTTGTTCCAACAACAGTATTTCAGGCATGCTTTGGACAATTACAGTTAATCTTGGTATGTAACATCATAGATGAAGAGTTGCTGATATACGTCAGTTTGTTTTGAGATACGACTTGATTTGATTCGGTATGGCTGACTGGCATCAATGTTTTTATTTTTGTCCCTTGAGTTTCAGGGACTGAACACATAACAGCACACACCAAGGTAATATAAGCACCCTAACTAATCTGTAGCAATGTCAATAAATAATCAATTTTGAGACTTTACCTGGTTATCTAGTAGAAAGATAAACTTGTTATCATGGCTGATTTTACATTTCAAGTAACCTTGGTCTGAAAGAAAAGTTGATAAATTTCAACGGTTATCTTCAACTATAAAATAATACGATAGATTGGAGGTTTTTAACCCTTCTGAATACCATAGTACAGTACACGATTTCTTTCTGAACGTATCATGGGAGATCAGGGTTGCAGCCAGGATTTTTGACAATGGGGACATGGTGGCCCACCAGCTTTAATTTTGTGGGACAATTATAATTTGTTGGGGACAGTAACAAAATGAACTAAATTGCACATGTAACTAGTAAATCAACCATAGCCTTTATTTATCATCATAATCATGTACATGTACAAAGCTTGGCAAAGATAGGAGGCTTAAATAACTGGCGTTACAATTAATTGCATTGTAACAATACACCATATAGTGATACTTTTGGATTTGTAAAATTTAACAAAATCAGATCACTGTTTTGCTGAATAGACCTATAAGAATATGTGGTGTTTTATATTTTGTTGAATCACTGTTCTTATGTGGTACAACTCTTTGGGGTTTTACTTTACTGTTACACTGATTTCAATTGCACATGTAGCAAAAATAAATGGAAAAAAATAATAAATGTTATAATAAACTATCAGTACTGAGATCAGGTAAGTTGTTTTTATTATTATAAAACACATAAAAGATATCTTTACTGTTACAGTCACTGTATGAATGTTTATATACAAAATGACCTACTTAGCAACAATTGTTTACATAACACTTGATCTGACCCCAGAAATGAACATTTTTGTTGCAATATTTTGATGAGGAAATGTCAACATAGATATAAACTTTGCATCTAGCCTACTGCCTTTATATTACATTGTTATTGTTATGCTAGTCACGCATCTAATTTTGGAAAATACGCGTTGTTTTGACTGTCGCCATTCCTTAAGTGCGTCGTTAAATGGAAACTGCTCGATATCAAGGACATTACGTGGAGCCGATCGGTTTCCAGTCGGTTGCGCGATTTCATTTTAATTCTATTTTGTATGGAGAATCCCCGTTCAAAATAAGCCGACTGCACTGGCAACACGAGTGCAATTTTGGCCAATTTCAGCAAATTTGGAAAGGCTTCACGATGGTATGTGTATAAGATTTTCCACAAAGTGTCCATCCTATCTCTGGGGTATTTCTGCACACGTACAAGCTCCTTGGCATCAGCCCACTCCAGTAGTACGCGATCCGAATCAACAATTGGCTTAACGACTGCACCGTCGGCAGGTGTTTTAGGTTCGCCAAAGTGCTAGATTAAAACCTCAATTTCGTTGTTGCCATAGTCATTTAGTTGTTCCGCGGACAAGAATGTTAACGGTCGCATAGCGAGGACGGCAAAAAGCAGTAATTAAATTTGTTGTGTCTTGGGGGAAAACATTCATCTAAATTATCGAGAATATTTTCAATGTGTATTTTCCCACGCTTATTGCAACAAATTATTCCAAGAGAGGTGCGCGTAAATTCATAGTTTCGGTTGACAATTAATAGAATTATGCAAATAACCGAATAAACGACAAGGTAGATACTGCGTCAAATCGAATTAATCACGTAATGCATGCGTGACTCGAATGCTCGCATACGGCACATAATAGCCGAGATTCACATCACTAAACGTCTTCGCCTTGGCCACCGGGCATGATGATGATCTTCTTTTCTGTCCTGGTTGCTGACCACGTATAGCAGTGGCACGTTGTCGTCTAACCATTTTCACTTGCTGTCAGAATGATATTAACAGCGCTTACCTGGCACGCGTATTTTCCCACGCTTATATTGCAACAAATTATTCCAAGAGAGGCGCGCGTAAATTCATAGTTTCTGTTGACAATTATGCAAATAACCGAATAAACGACAATGTAGATACTACGTCAAATCAAATTAATCCAGTAATGCATGCGTGACTCGACCCGGCGCTCGCATACGGCACATAATTGCCTAGATTCACACCACATCACATCTACGCGATCTGAGTCACACGGCGTAGCCAGACTGCGGCAAAGGCCTTCACGTCTGATGGTGAAAGCTGAAAGTAATGGTACGAGATATACCAGTGAATGAGCGCTGAGAAATCATTGTAAACTCAAATTGTAAGTAGCTGTTGTCATAGAAAATAAAGTATGCAAATGCACCTTGCCGTTTATTCGTTTGCATTTGCCGCAATATGGCTATGTTGTGTGACGTGGATGCGTGAACGGGTTTAAAGCTCTGTACGTAATAAGCTCGTAATAATCTGTTTTGGCGGATGCCCGGTGGCCGAGGGGAAGACGCGTAGTGACGTAAGGCTAGGCAATTAGGTGCATTGCGCAAGCGCTGGTTTGAGTCACGCATGTAGTACGTGTTTATTTGATTTGAGTAGTATCTACCTGGCTGTTTATTCGGTGTTATTTGCATAGTCAAAGACCTTGTCTATGTTCTTAACCGGCAAATTTGTATAGGGCGCACAAGTGATTTTTTCTGCGCCAGTTTCTGTGTAAATCATGCGCCCATATTGGCCCTCAATTATAAAAAAACGGGACAATGTTTGAAATTTTGCGGTAATCCTGCAATGGCGCGCTCTGGCTGAAACCCTGGAGATACCATTATTTTGGGTGTAAACCACTATATCACAAAGTTCACTATCTAGTATATAATTACATGTTATTGACACATGGTTTATTGTGTCAGGGTTTTCGTTAGAAGCTGGTCACCGGCTTATTTGCAGTCTACACGATCTCACACAGCCGTCTACTGCTGCAGAATTCAATTGCAGGTCATAGGTCACACCTGTTGTCACGTGGTTGATTGGAAAAAATGGCGTCCAAACGTATGATCGCAAACAAGATGGGAATAAAAAAATTTTAATTTCAAAGTTATATGACAATGACC